TGTATATATATATATATATGTATGTATGTATATATATATGTGTATGTATTATATATATATATATAAATATATGTATGTATGTATTATATATATATATATATGTATGTATGTATGTATTATATATATATATGTATGTATGTATGTATGTATTATATATATATCAATCAATCAATCAATCAATCAATCTATCAATCAACTTTATTTATTTATATAGCACATTTTAAAAACCACAAGGGTAGCCAAAGTGCTGCACAATAAAACAATAAAAACAAACAAAACAATGAAAACATACAAAGCATACACAAAGAAACATAAAAACCATTCACATACCAGTTTCACAGCAGGTGTATTAAAAAGCCATAAAAGATAAGATCACGTGTTAAAAGCCAAAGAATAAAAGTGTGTCTTTAAAAGAGACTTAAAAACAGGAAGAGAGGAGGCCCGTCTCACACTCAAGGGTAAAGTGTTCCACAACCTGGGAGCAACAACAGCAAACGCTCTGTCACCTCTGAGCTTCAGCCTAGTTTTAGAGACTGTCAGCAGCAGCTGATCAGCTGATCGTAGGGATCGGGGTGGACAGTAAGGCTGAAGCAGCTCAGACAGATATGGTGGGGCAAGGTTGTTCAGACATTTAAAAACAAACAGCAAAAGCTTAAAGTTAATTCTGTAGTGCACAGGGAGCCAATGAAGGGACGCCAGGATGGGAGTAATATGCTCGCGCCTACGAGCCTGAGTTAACAGGCGAGCAGCAGAGTTCTGCACAAGCTGCAAACGAGCAAGAGACGTCTGGCTAATGCCTGCATACAGCGCATTACAGTAGTCAAGACGAGCTGTGATAAAAGCATGGATTAATTTCTCCAAGTCAGGTCTTGCTAGGATTGGTTTCACTTTTGCTATTTGGCAGAGCTGATAAAAACTTTTCTGAACAACACTGCTGATCTGTTTTTCAAATTTAAAATCAGACTCAAACTTCACCCCCAGATTGGTGACACAGTCCTTGAGATAAAATGACAGTGAGCCAAGATCTATGCTGGGAGAGGGACGGCAACTTGGTCCAAACATCATAACTTCAGTCTTGTTCTCATTTAGACTTGGGAAGTTAAGTGAGAACCATGTCTTAACATCATTAAGGCAGTGTGTAAGTTGTTAAACTGTGTTGTTTTGTGCCATGGGAAAATAGATCTGGCAATCATCAGCATAAAAGTGAAATAAAATGCCATGCTTCCTAAAAATCGAGCCAAGGGGGAGTAAGTAAAGAGCAAATAAAAGAGGGCCAAGGATTGAGCCCTGGGGGACACCATGTGGAAGAGGAGCAGTGGAAGACGTAAAATTGTCGATTTTTACGCAGAAACTCCTATTGGTTAAATATGACCGAAACCAATTGAGGGCGACACCCCTGATGCCCACACAGTGCTCAAGACGAGAGATTAAAATGCTGTGATCAACAGTGTCAAATGCAGCAGACAAATCTAAGAGCACTAAAACAACAGACTTTCTGGAGTCTGTGGACAAGAATATATCATTTGAAACCCTCAAAAGTGCACACTCTGTACTGTGGCGGGCTTTAAACCCAGACTGAAACGGCTCAGTGTATGTATGTATGTATTATATATGTATGTATGTATGTATGTATGCATGTATTATATATATATGTATGTATGTATGTATGTATTATATATATATGTATGTATGTATGTATGTATTATATATATATGTATGTATGTATGTATGTATTATATATATATGTATGTATGTATGTATGTATTATATATATATATGTATGTATGTATGTATGTATGTATTATATATATATGTATGTATGTATGTATGTATTATATATATATATGTATGTATGTATGTATGTATT